GCTCTGAGGGTTTTGAGGACCTCGGCTCCAAAGATGTGGACATTCACAGTCTCAGGCTCACGTCAGCCTCCCTGTCTCCTTAGTTCTGGTATCAATACTGGGCTCTTATTTTTCTTTTTGTATCCTTTTTCTTTTTTTGTTTTCCTCCTTTTCTGAATTCAGGTTCTAAAAAAGACCTGGAAATGATCTGGAATGTCGATCACCAGACCTCATCTCCCTCCCTCCCCGATGAAACAAGAAGACCAATTGCCCCACATCCCTCCCCCCCAAACACCCCCAGACCGATACAACCAGTAATAGCGAAAGAAAAACAAACCAGAACAAAAATGAAACCAACAACAGAAAACAGAAAACCAAAACGAGAACAAAAAAATTAAAACAACAAAACCAAACCAAAAACCTACACGCATGCTACGCCGTAAAAATGCAGAGTTAACACTATTGGGAAGAAGGCTGTGGGTTGCTGAGATGGTCTTTGAAGAATGAGCAGTATCCATCTGCACTCCTTGTCCCCAGCCCACCCATCACCACTGACAGTCCTTCATGGAAGGGGCTTTGCTTCCTCTCCCACAAGCTGCCAAATGAACAGCCTGGAAATCCCATGCCCCCCCTCCCCTCCCCTTTCCCCAGACCCCCCACCCTTCCCTCCCTCCCCCCCCAAAGTGAGCCGGGCTGGTTTGAATCTGTACACAGCATGAAGCTGCATAAAGCAGCGGAGCAGCTGCAGGGCACAGAAACCATACTGGTCTCTTCAAAGGGCATCTTCTCCAGCCATCTCTACGCTCCCGACTGAGCAGAGCTGCGTTTTCCCCCCTCTCGCTCAAACCCACAGTTCAGATCTTTATACAAAGGCTGGCCAGGGCGGGTGCCAGGGTTTAGTTCTTGTCCTCTTTCTTGTCATCGTCCTCTGAGGGGTAGGAATGCCATGTCAACCTCTCCTCATAGAACGAGATGACCACCTGGGGGCACTTGATGTTGGCTTCCTTGGCGGGGACCAGGTCGGCCTCGTCAGAGTTCTTCCTACAGGCCAGAGCAGAGGAGCAAATTAGGGGGCTGCAGAGGGAGGTGGAAGAACTGGAGAGAATCGAGCAGCTGGAAAACCGAGGTGTCCTCAGGCAAATCCTTCCCGAGTGACTCCGGTGCAGAGAGAAGCAGCACGTGAGCCCTCAAAAGCAGGCTGTGTTGTCAGGCGTGGGGACAGCAGCCACATCGAAACTGCAGCCCTTCCCCAGCTACTCCGTACTTCTGAGACAGTGCAAGAGCAAGTGCTTCCTGCACCTTCACCTGCCTGGTTTGGCTCCCAGCTGCACCAGCACCAAGCCCTGTTTCCCTAGAGCTGAAAGGGTCACGGCTCTCCTTGGGATGTGGCCTTCTGCAGCTGTGGCCCGTGCCACGACATCACACCCCTCTCTCTCCCCAAGCTCGCGCCTGCTGCAGGGGGGCATCTTAAGAGCCACGCAATCCCAAGGGCCCTACCTGCTTCTTTCACATCCACGTTAGCCTCAGCGCAGAGGGTCACCTCAGGCAGCAGCGCCATCGTGAGAGATTTCGTGCCAGGTAGCAGGGACTCCCCAGGTGCAGGTCCTTCCCTCTCTGGCACAGAATAAGCGAAGAAATGACAGACACAAAGACACACTCACCACTTCATCAGGAACATGAGCTCCCCGCTGGAATCTGTGGCACCGATGATCCGCTCCGGCTCAAAGCCCCGGGCAAAGCCTCGTGGTTTCTCCGACTGCAAGAGACAAGTTTCCACTTGTAGCATCAAAGGGTGATGGGTCACAGCCCTGCTGCAGGCCACACAGACGCACTGAGGGCTGCTCAGAAAGGCTCTGTGCATCAGATGCTTGGACTGCAACGACCGAGGCCAGCAGGCGCTGAGCAGACAGCTCAGGTGTACACCAGAGGGGACCTGAGGCCCCAGGACAGTCCAAAGCCACAAGCAGAGGATCTGATTTTCGAGGCACAGCTGCTCAAACTTTTGTGCTGGCTGAGATTCAGCAGCTCCCAGGATGCAAACCAGACCGCAGAGCCTCTGTCTTGTCCTTTTTCCACAAGCATCCCCAGAGGGAGGCTCCCTGCTCTGCTCCCTCTCTCGGAGGCCCTGCAGCCCATTTTACCCCTGCGGCTGCTCACGAGAAGCCGTGGCTCCACATTATTTAGGTTCAAAGACTGACCTCTCAGTTTAGTGCTAGAAGCAGCCCTACATTCTCATAGAGGCCTGGCTCAGAGAGCAGCTCACGCCTCCTTCCAAAAAAGCTGCAGCTTTTCAAAAGCTCTCCAGCTGTGCCTCGCTCATCTGGAATAGTCTCCCCTCTGTGCAGAACCATTTGACTGAGGTTTCAGAGCACGGCTACTCCAGTGCTGGACACTGAGCCATATCCAGAGCTAGGGAGGTGAGTACAGAAAGCCCACGCTGCCTCACCTCCTCCTTCTTCTTCTTTGGTTTGCTCTCCTCCCCTTTGTCCTCTGTGTCAGACTCTGCTTTGCGTTTGCTCCCCTCAGACTTCTCACTCTCGTGTGCAGTTTTCTGGGACTGAAGGAACTCTGCAATGAGGTCTGGGCAGTCGAGGTTCTCCTCTGGCTCCCACGTGTTATCTTCACTGGAATCAAAACCAGCAGTTTAATTTACAGACAGAGACAGACAGAAAGCCCTGACACCACATCAAGTGGAGATGCTGAGAGAAGCAGCAGGATTCTGTGCCCTCACCCCACGAAACAGATAAGGGCAGTGATGCCAGAGGCCAGGGCAGTAATTTCTCTTTTCATCTGTCTGCTTGCTTCACACTCCGTTGAAGGGAAGGAAGCCCCATGTACCACCATGGCACTGCACAGTTAATCCGTGAGACAGAAGCAGGACTTTCTCACCTAGGCTACGCTCACAGTGCTCCAATTAGAGCTGGTGACACTCAGTACCACCTTCTCCATCATTACCCTCACCCTGAGCCTGTCAGCTCCATTTTGCAGACAAGGAGAGGCCCTGTGAGCAAATCATTTCTGTCTCACGTCTGATCCAAGTCTCCCCTCTTTTAGATTAAAGCCCCCTCAACCCACCACTATCAGAACACGTAAAAAGTCAGCCTCCCTCTTGCTTACTTACTCGGAGAAGCCTTTCCATTTCAGCAGATATTCCACTTTGCCCTTCACCACCCGTCGATCCAGGACCTTTTCCACCACATACTCCTCCTCTTCTTCCTCTAAGACCTCTTCTACTTTCTTCTTGTTCTGTTTTTTTCCCATTGTGCTGGCCAGTTTTTCAGCTTACGGGCGACGCTGCTGAAAGGGGAAAGAAGATCACACGTGTGTGTTAAAGACAGGTTTGCCTTTGCAAGGCAGCAGAAGTATACACTGTACCCAGCTTTGCCTCTATGTAACCAGCACAGAAGGCTCTTTTAGAGGAAGCAGGCACTTACAAAGCAGGAAACACACAAAGCCCTTCCACTCATCTCAACTCTACCCTGTCCTGAGCCGTGGAAACCATGTGCAAATCCACACGGCAGCGGGAGGGAGAAAGCACACTGCTGACATTGATTTAAAGTTAATAAACAGTTAATCCAAGCTAAACAAAAGTCACAGTCCCTGATCCTGAGCTCCCCACGTTCTTTTCTTCGGTGTTTTCATGTATGTGCACTCTAGGATGTTCATCCAGCTCCAAAGTTTTTCTTCTCCTTATCTCCAGGGCACACAAACAGCCACAGAGCCACAAGCCCAGAGCTGGTGGGAAGCATCTGAAGCACTGCAAGGTTTGCAGGATGCTCTGACCCAAACCAAGGCCATTCCCTGCACAAAGGAATATGGGAGTGCTGTCCTCAGGTTCAAAGACTGCCCAAAGGGTCGGGAGGTGGTGAGCATTGCCAGCCCAGGTCACCAGCACCGAGTCACTGTCACTGCTCTGTCACCAGGACTGAACCTCCTGGTCCTGGCTCTGCATCCCATGAGGGCTGATTGTCACCCACCCACCTTGCTGAACAGCTGCCCAGAGCCTTCCTGGCCTAACTGCTTTGTTCCGGTAAGAAATGCTTTTTCTGCCAAGCAAGATGACTGGCGAGCTGGTCAAACATTACCAGCCCAAAGACTTTATTTGTGCCGCTCAGGTGAACGCTGTACAACGCATTTCAGCTTGACAAGAATCTATGCCAGGTAGTTTACACAGCAAAACAAGAATCCTGCAGATCTACGCTAAAGGAAGATGTCAGAGTTAAGAACAACCTCGGCTCTCAGCTGAGCGAGCTCCCTTTGTACAAGATGTTGCTGAGTTGAGCAGCTGCCATTAAAGCCCCATTCAAAGGAAAAGGCTCAAAAAGGAGCCCCACAAAGCCCACAACATGAACGACACCAGAAACCCCAACAGAGAGGACAGGAGGGACCCAGCCGAGGCTCCAGACCACCCTGTCTGTGCTGCTGTCTCACAGACGGGCCCTAAGGGCAGCCAAGGAGCATGGAAAAGCACAGAGAAAGCAGCACTTCTCCTTCTGGCACGCACTGCACTCAAATGTTTGGATTTTGGACCTCGCTGCTGCTCGGAGCACACACTGTGCAGAGGATGGGCACCGAGCTGCTGGCGAGCCAGGCAGAACAACAGCCCTCCTTCAGCACAGGGCTCTGCTGCTTTGTGCTTACCTGGTGGTTTCAGAAAGAGAGGGGTCAGCACCAGAGCAGGCTGGAGATGGAGACAAGGGAAGAGCTTGCCCTGCTGCCTTACAGAGCTGCAGCATCCATCAGAAGAGATGAAGCCTGCTCTGAGCGCTGTGTGAAGCCATGAGAAGTTCCCCAGCCTGTAAAGCCCAGCAGCTGGAGCAGTGACAGGGACATTCCCACTGCAGGGGCACGGCTACCACAGGGCTCCTTTATTAAATACCACAGCACACCCAGCCCCCAGGGATACAGATTTCCTGCCCCGTTCCTGGGGGAGGGGAGCAGTAAAAGTTGGGAACAGCTTGCTGAAACGAAGCTGTACAACATCATGTAGCAGAAAAGCTTTTCCCTGCCCTGCTCCCAGGCTAAGGCAGAGCCAGATATTCACTGGGCATTGACTGGACGCTGGGTGGAGGCGAGCCCAAGGCTGTGCAATGCAACAAGGCGAAGCTGCCAGCGCCTGCAGGAAGCCAGGCTCGAGTTTCACTCTGGAATTCCTCTGGCAGCTCCTTCCTCCCCTTCGCCCCCGCGGGGAGGAGGATCCTCCCCTCACTGAGGCACAACCTGTATGTGGAGAAAAGGGCCCGCAGGGGTGAGATCCTGGGGTTCCCTGCTCCCAGCTGCAGCCAAAGGGATCTCAGTCACAAACGCTGCAGTTGTTGCCTTGTTCTTAAGGACCTTGGGATGCTGAGTTAAGGAGCCCGAGTTCCCTGGACCAAAGTCTGTAAGAGGCACAGGAACCAGAGCTGGGAGTGAGACAGGCAGAAACGGAGAAAGCAGGAAAGCCACGGAGCAGCGCAAGCAATGCCGTGCCACAGCTCCATCATTACAGGAAGGGCAGAGAAGATGCAAATGCGAGGCCAGGAGCACTTGCAGAAAAAGCAGGCCAGCAGCAGAGCCCAGGGGGCCCGGTGGCTCCGGGGCTCCACGCAGCACAGCACATCTGCAGCCTGCAGCAGGCAGGCGATGCTGAGCCCCAGCACAGCAGCTGCTGCAGAGCCTGGCGTTGCAGAGGCGAGCTGCTGTGCAGGCCTTTCACTGCACTGCAGTCAGGGAGGCTGGAACACGACAAAGGGATTCGGCAAAGATTGCAGCCTTTGAATGAGGGCATTTCAAACCCTGCCTGTTTTCTTGATTCAAAACAAGCCACAGGCACACAGAGCACAGCTTGGTTTGGGGTTGGAGGGGAATGCAGCGGAGGCAACAGACAGCAATCGTGGGGACATCGCTCACAGCCGCAGGGTTTGGGGCTGGATGATCCCACCCCAAGAAAGTCTCATTAAGTAGCACACGTTTCCTATGTTCAACTTCAATTTTCCCTCACTTAACGCGTGAAAAAGTTGGTCTACACTGAAAATCAGGACCATCCTGAGTCTAGCAATCCTGCACTAAGTCCTTCTGTTTTCATTTGCCACTTCTTACCTAACGTTCCAGGCAAGGCTGAAATCCTTTGTGAAAAGGAAAGCAGAGCAGTGAAAGATTGCAAGAATGACTCCTTGGTCTGCAGCTAATAGGAAAAGCACCCGACACACCTAAGGCACTCGAAAAGAATTCAAAGCCCAGTAAAAAGGCAGGAAAAAAGAGGCCCAGCATGAAGGTGTGCACAAAAGCCTGCTTTATAGGGACAGGAATAGCAGGCAGAGGAAGGAGAGCTTGGCTGACAGCATGGACCAGCACAGAACTCTGCTCACTGCACTTCTTGGGGCGGTAGGGAATGGAACTGATGCTGAGAGGCTGCCGAGGGAGAGCTGCTGCCCTTCCAGAGTGCCTCATGCTCATCTTTTCAGTAGGGAGCTTAACAAAAGGAGAGCCAAGAAAAATAACGTGGAGACCCAGAGGTTGGGTCTGAATACAGCCCGGTTCCATCAGCTGCACCTTAAAGGATGAGCAGTTCAGCTTCGCTTTAATGAGCTCTAAGCTTTAAACATTTCCTCCCTTCTGCCTTTCTCAAACTTGGCCGGGATCTCTCATCTCTGTAAGGACTTACAAACACTCCAAGTTTATTCTGCATGTGTCAGGGAAAGGCAGCAGGCACCGTCCTGATGAAGTGGGAAGCAGCACATGAAACCTTCCACACTCCAGAACCTGAACACAACAGAAAACACCTCCGGAAAGTCCAAGTCAAAGCTCAAGGCTTCGAGCAGAGATCAAACTAAAGGAAAGCCACAGCCTTTGAGCTCGGCCACATCATTTCCAGTTAAGTTCACAATCCAGCAGAGAATGTTATCTCTGGATTTAAGAGAAAAACACACACAGCTGGGATATCATAAGGGAACTTGAGCTACAAACCCCATCCCATAGACAGGGATTCCACGGCTTGGTTGGCAAAGGCAGACAGAACCCTGGGGGCCAAAAGCGGAGGGTGGGAACACAGGGCCGCGTTCCTCCTCTCCAATTTATGCAAAGGGAGGAAAGCATTACCGCAATATCTTCGGTTTTAGGATGGGAGCTGATGGCTTCAGGCTGCTGTTGGGTACCGGGAACAACAACTTCTCAGCAAAAGCAGCGAGGCACAGACAGCCCACGGAGGTGGGAGCGTCCCCACGCCTGGAGGAGCTGCAGCATGGCGGGGATGTGGCACTGATGGCCGCGCTGAGCAGCACGGTTGGGATCCGAGGGCTCTTTTCCAACCGTATCGATCACCGCACGGACCCCAGGTGTTCACAGCAAACGCCGCCTCGATTCCCACCCCCACCTGCCGCCCGTCTCTTAAAGCAGCACAGGATCTTCGCAGTGCCCGAACGCTCCGGGAGGCGCCGCTTCCCGCCACAAAACCCCGCCGCTTTTCGTTCTTTCAGCTTCACGCAAACAACGCGTTTGAAAACTCAACGCCCGCCCCAACCGCAGCGGGTCCGGGTCCGGGTCCGGGTCCACCTCCTCCTCGTCCTCGTCCTCGTCCTCCCATGGGGGTGCGAACCCCCTCCGGCCCCACATCTT